AAAAAAAAAAAAAAAAAAAAATGAATGAATTTTATTCGGCCATTGAAAATAAGGAGTGAACATAAAATAAAGATTCCATGTATGGAGTGCAATAATTTTATTTGTTTATTTTTCTTAATGTATTTTATGAATACGTCAAATACTTTCCAACAAATCTTATCAGAAAATAAAGATATAACAAAGTTAAATACGCTCGTCACAAGGTATGTATGTATATTAATATATCGTATTATCTATTTGGCACGAATTATTGTAAAATGTACATATTTGTCTTCTCTGTTTATCCGAATTATCGAACAACATTATTCACAAACGAAAAAATGCCTTTTTGCTGCGCAGACACTATGACGGAGAATACATTAGAGTTTTTTTGATTTTGTTTTATTTGGATATCTGATTTGTGCTAGTATATATGGATTATGTATCATACACGTATACATCGATATTGGGTACATTCATTCTTCGACGGTTTCTTTTTCCAGTAAAAAATAGTAGTAAACAAAGTAGTTTGGAACATATGCACTTGCCAACGTATATAAATCACACGGTGTTTCAAATCATTGGCGTAAATCATAGATATCGTGGATTGTTGCGTGTGAAGCGAATTTCACGAAGAATGTAAAGCCGACATCTCTGTTCTGTTTATTATCTGACTCGTCTGGATCTTTTATTTCGCCTTCTCACGTCGTTTTATTATACCATTTGCACGCGCATTTACAGATTCACATATAATTATAAATTTTAAAAAACCAATTTAGAGCTGTATGCCGTGACGAGGAAATCGCCTTTCCCGAAATTCTCGAATATGAATACGACACAACGTGATATTGTAAATGCTGATTGATTTCAACAAAGAGACATCAACATCATTTTATGTACAATATTGTAAACGTTTCTTTCTCGTTTGAATTTGGCACGATATTTTATAATGAGACACACACATACATACAAGGGACGGGATGGTTACGAGAAAGCACGGCTTTCTATTACTCTACAATAAATATTGGCAACCACCGAATGTTCTTAAAAATAAAGATAAGCTTTTTGCAAGAGATTCTTGCGCGATGTTTCTCGTTGAATCTCTTGCGAAATTTTCTCGGAATGTTTAGTTATTATCACGTGAATCGTTGTTCCCTCGATCGATCTTCGATCGCAGTATCGTTGAAACTGAGATGAAATGTTAAAATGATGCATTTGACTTCCTCTTAAACCCAACCGAACTGGGAACTGGAAATTGGTTTTCCTTTTGTTTTGTAATTACATTTTTGTCATCTCAATTCACTTGCATGTCCCTTATCGTTCGACAAAGGAAAGCCGATGTTATTATACCGAACGTCTGAAACATACACGATTAGATTTCGAACATTTCGAGTCTTAAGTACATTCTGCGAAAAAAACATACTTGTATACCAGCCATTGCCATGCCCAGAAATACCAATGTGAGGCTCTCGCATTGTAACCAACTCATAACTTTAAGAAGACAGCCCTGTAAACATTTTACAATACGAAAGATTAATTTTAGTAGGTTCAATTTCAAACGATAACCATTCTCTTTACATTTCTGATTATTGTTACCGATCGTAGGCGTTCACTATGGACTTCACGCAGATTGACATAGGTAGGTACATATTTTCTTAATTTATAATAAACAAAAGTCGACTAATAAAATTAATAAAATAAAAGTCAGAGATTTCAAATCTTGATTTATCGATTCAACAAAATCGATCTTTCTTCATCCTGTGTCACAATATGCAAAATGCCGCGTTCGTACTGTTGGGGGTACAGTTCGCAAGCAGTTTCAGCGAATTGCGATCAAGTTACAGCGAGTTCACTTGCAACAGTGAATAGTATTTGCTAGGTAAACTGTACATCAAAGAATCTATTTGCGAAACTCGAAACATGTGGTTGCGTTGAGGGCCGCGAAAAATTAATGCCGCATTCAAACTGCTCGCGAACAGAAACAGCATTGCATCTATACTGGAGTTCGCAAACAATCGCTATCTTGTCCACTCGGTGTTTGTGCTGAAGCTCTAGTCTAGTCTAATTTACCAAGTGTGAGTAAACTTCAAGGAATATTCGTTGCATGCTGTTCATTTTTCGCTAAACTGTCCACATACTACTCGAACTGTTCACGAGCTATTCTAATAATAAGTGAATCTAGAGACGATCTAAGAAATAAATAAATATTCTTCGGTTCGTATTAAACAGTATTTCAAATATAACAAATATAACAAAAATATGACAATCCTATTAATTACATACACTAGAATATGAACTCATCTTTATCGCATTAAATCTACAAACCGTGTGACTTTATATACATGATATATTTTGAAAAAGAAATTTTCTTTTCATGCTTTAACTACGTTGAGATTGAAATTGAAATTAACTATAGAATGTGTAAATCCTTCATACATCATTGAATCGAACAATCTGTCCTTTGTAAAATGACTAAATTGTACTTCTAAACTAAATTGAGCAAAATTGTTACCTCTTTATGTCGGTATCCATCATGACCTTCTTCGTCTTCCACTTGACATGCTACTTCGTCTATTGGTTTCGGGTTTAGCCACGGTTTTTCGGTCTTTCGTCAAGAAAATAAGAATTTCATGAATGAAATATAGAAAAAAATTTAAACGTCAATCAAAATACTTACATCTTTGTTAAACACTCTCGACACCACGCTCATTGGACTTTCCGTGTTTACTACCTGCCAGGTAATAGAAATAATTGATATTTATACATGTATATATCTACAAGGAAAGTGAAGGAAAACATATACAGACCGAAAGAGTTACCTTTAAATCATCGACGATCAGTTCACTAACACGGTTTCATCGATAGTGAACTGGCGATATATATTTTTTTACCGACACCTTAGGATCATCGACAACTTATTACAATTCTAATCACTTACGCTTCTATATTTACATGCTAGTAGCTTAATTCAAAATAAACCGAATGAATTTGCCCGAAGGAAATCAAAATTCCAACCAAGTGAATTCAAGTTCTTTTTTGCAATCGCGATTATTCAAAAATTTCTATTGATGGTATTGTGTATTATAAGACAAGAAATAAAAACAAATTATATTACTAAGTCATGTCATCAGACAAGGTGATAGTA